CGCCGGTTGCGTGGAGGGATGATGCGCCGCGGGATGCGTGTAGGTGTGCTTAGAGGCACCTTGAAACAGGGGGGTACCTACTGGTTGAGTGGATCCTAGCCACCGATGTGTGGTACACGTTGTGTACAGTAGAGAAGAGGCTTGGTCTGTTTTATTGAAACCGAGGCCTTTCGCCCCCGCTTTCATGGCGGGTCAGCCACAGGAGACTCGAGTCTCGGCCTGGTAGCCTATTTCGAGAGAACAAACGGGCGGACTATAAACTCGACGAACATCAAGGTGTACGTATGTACTTTTAGCCTACCTACTTCTAGAGCTGTCTGAAGCATTCGTAGCAAAATATCGAGCCTATGATACTAACCTTTGATCCGTCCCTTGTGTCGATTTCACAAATTTTTCTCCTCAAGAAATACGATGTTACTCTTAAATTATGGTAATATTTAATGATATTATTTTAAACAATTTGCAAATGTTAAATTTATGTGTCTTTTCGTTGTATCGAGTTTTTATAACTGTGTGTCAATTTGACACCGAGGGATAAATTGAGTTGGGAAAATAAGACGACCGTTCATATAAATCGATCGTCAAGCAACTGGTGATTTCGATCGAGGATGAAGCAAGTATCTCGGTTGATCAATGCAGCTTGTCGCCTTGAAGTAAATCATGCTAGTTTCCTGGGGGGCCGTTAAGGAGCTCTTTCTTTTTCCCGACTTTAATCGATCGCGTCGTTCGACGAACGGTTTCGTAATAAAGCAAACGAGATCCGGAGGGAACAAACGAACTGCCAAGAGTGTGCTTTTCACCGTTAACCGCGAATTTTTACGGCCGATAACGATTGCAATCCGCCGCGCGAATGGCTAAACGATCGTTGGACGGCCAACGCTGCCAACGCAATCGTGGCGTTATTGTGGAAAAACGAAGAAAGAAATCGGCCGGGGGGGGGGCCGTAAATTCGTCGTTAACCGTCGACACGGAATTATGCGACTCTGCTGGTGAATTTTAGTGTAGGATCGGTGTACACGCAAAATTATCATTCACCCGGAATGGATGGTCGAGCGGCTCGGTTACGCGGGCAAATCGAAATAAAACATTCTGATATACACGTGGATCGCGATAAACGTTTATCGCGCGTGCGCGGAATACATCATTTCCGTCGTTCCACATTCGTGTTACGGGTGGCTTGATAAAACACGACACCGTCATAGCATAGTGGTTTGTCTAGTAATAATTTAACGGGACAAAAGTCGAATATCGTGACCAAGCGAAAGTTAATAAATCGTACAACGAGCTATTGAATCAGAAACATTGGGACGACATAGTAGACAATTTTATGTATTTCAGGAAAATAACGATTAGCCAGATGAACGTGAATCGGTTGTTCAGTCAACGATTGTTACGATGCTTCAGTATTAGCTAAATATCAGAACTTCTCGGTTGAACATTTTCAAACCATTCCCCATTCCTTGCCATTTGACAAAATTTTTACTTCTATAATTATACACGATAAAACCCAATGTTCCAAACATTCGAGCCATGAACCGTCTGAAAATATATGTAAAAAATTATAGTCTTGTAAGTTGCTATTACATTTATAATACATAATGCTCAACGCCTGAATTCCATCAAATGTAGAAAACAGAGGACAAATAACGTCTTATTTTACCAATAAGAAGGTACCACATAAGACCAAAAGAAACTATTAAATACTCACAGATACGAGAAAATACACGATTCTAATATTTTATTCCGTAATTTGAATTACACAGACACATGACAACAATGGGAACGAAAGGGTTACCCAAATACCAAACACTTCCACCCAACTGACAATTTATGTATACCACCTCCGACGTTTGTCCCGCTAGATCGCCGAAACAGCCCACTGTTGGACCGACGGCCATCGGTTCGCTCTACTATTGGCCATTTCGAATCGATCCGGAACGGGACGACGCCGACACGCGCGCGACGAAGTTAAATCTGGCCGCGAGTCGGTCCAGACAACCGCCAAACATCGGCCCCCATCTGCGTCAGCTTCGAGAAACGGTCCAAAGGTTCCCCGTGGCCGAGGGGAACCACCATCTCTCCACCGCGATGAGGAAAGATTAAAGACCCGGGGCAAATACGCCCCCACCAGGAATGATGGATGCGATCCGTGAGACGCGGGCGCCGCTCCTCGAGTAGGTGGAGACTTCCATTTTCATTCCTACGTGTGTTCTTCCCCCGGGTTCTCTCCCTCCACCACCCGTGTTCCCGTCGCTCTTTCGCGCGTTCTGCCGCCGCGCTTATCCGTGCGCTTTAATCAGCGATATACAGGGTGTAACAAAAATGTTGGCGTATCCGAAAATGGAAGATTCTTTTCTGCCGCCGCGCTTATCCGTGCGCTTTAATCAGCGATATACAGGGTGTAACAAAAATGTTGGAGTATCCGAAAATGGAAGATTCTTAAGGTGATTTGAAACAAGTTTTTCCTTAGCAAAAATGTTATCCGAGGCTTTGTTAACGAGATATTAACGAAAAACCATGACCAATCAGAGCGCGAGGTTGCCGGCCTAGTTCCCGCGGTAACATTGGCTACGCGCTGCGATTGGTAGCCAGCGTTACCGTGCGAACTCGGCCGGCAGACTCGCACTCTGATTGGTCGGGGTTTTTCGTTAATATCTCGATAAGAGAGCCTCGGATAACATTTTTCCTGAGGAAAAATTTGTTTCAAATCATCTCACGAATCTTCCATTTTCGGGTCCTACAACATTTTTGTTGCACCCTGTATATGCCTCGCGCAAATTTCGCTATCTTGTCGTCTGACATCGTCGTGTCTGAAGAGACTCCTTTCGATTATCGTCTGGCTTGTTCTACACGATTATTGTCCAAGCGTTATCCCCACGGACTAGGGGTGGGGGGCGTGGAACCTATCAAGCGCATACTTTCTTGCCTCTCTACTTTTGTTGCCAAGGCTTGGGCTTCGGGCAGAAAACGAATGTACGAGGGTCTTAAGCATTTCTCCCTATAAGATTATTGTCCCGACCGAGTTCAGGACGATAATCGAGCGGAGTCTGTACCATTCGGAGCAGTCTCTGTCTGGGAGCAGGGGAACCGTGAACCTTGATCCATCGACGTTTAGGGGAGGGTGTGTGTGTGTTCTGCAGGCTTCAAAGAAAAATCGAGCCGGACGGGGGCGGATAACGGTAATGTAGAAGTATGAAAAGGTAAAAAAAAAAAACATGGTCGCCCGCCTATCTGAATTAATTTTATAGGTTGCTCGATTACATAAATCAACTTATATGACGCTGTAAGCATCGAATTATACGAATCCAATTTTAGACTGTGTAAATATAATGTGGTTTTCTTTTTCGCTGATTCCACATGCACGTTTCCTGTCTCGTTCGATATGTAACTTTTTATCATGTATTCACACCGCAATACAAGGAGACGTTCTTGTTCTCGTCGTCCGTTTTTTTTTCTCGTTCAATTTACTCGAAGGTGTTATCGAAGGGATCAAACGCTACGGAGCAGGGATAATGACGAAGGGTTCAATTTCCCAGCAAGAAATCAGAACGGGATAACCCGTTCTCGGAGATGTAGAGTTTGTCGTAGGCCGTGGACACCCCGGCGAACCATTCGGCCGCGAACAACAATCTAAATGGTAATCCAACACCACACCCTCTTCGCAAAAACCGAAAACCACCGGTTGCCAGCGTCGTCGTACGAGCTGATCCGAGGACCCCGCAAAAATACACGCGTGCGCGCGCTGGCTCGGGGCACGGGCTTGGGGAATGGGGCAAAAAGCATTAACAAGGCTGCGATGAGCGTCCGGCTAATTCTATAACTTCGTTCAACCTTTTCACATTTGTGTGTCCGTCACCCCGCGCTACGTCTATCTACGTCTCTGGCGTTTATTTTATCGTCTTCCCATGTTCGTTCTTTTCTTCCGTCCCCCGTCCCCCTCAACCCTTTATTCTTTTGCGTATCACCCAACCCCCCCCTCCTCCTCCGTGTTCGTCCACCCTCTCTTTGTGTCCTGTACGCGATCATTTGGTTCTTCTTGCCGCAACCGTCGGCGGACGGTCGGTCGGTAATTATCTCCCGGTCGTGTAAAAATAATAATTAGCTCCCATCGTTGCATTAATTAAACCCCCCCCCACCTATACGACTGCCATCACCCACCCCCGCGTCCAGCCGGTTCCACCGCCACGAACACGCTCGCCGACCGTAATTACGCGTCCCTTGTGCCCACTAACCACTGTCCCACAAAGGGCGACCGCTTTACACGCCCACGTCGCCCCCGCGCGACGACCAGCCTTCCTCATCTGGGCTGAACGATCGTATACACCGCGAACTGTAGCGTTTCGTGTCGTTTAGCCGGAGGCGTCCTCCCCACTCCACGATTTCGACCACTCGTCTGGAGAGGGAATCGATACGTGTTTTCTACGATTATTCGAGATACAGGAAATCCTCCATAAGTGTTCCAAGACTCCTCGGCACTGAATATTAACCGGGTAAGTACGTATTCTTATATAATATTAACAATCGCAAAGAAGTCTTAAAGGCTTTAAGGAGACCTAACACACTCGACAGATAATTTCACAAAGTTCCCGATGTCCAAAATAAGAAACTTCTTCTTTGAACGCTATTTTGGTTATGCTCCGAGGATCCAAAAAGGGAATTTATAAGGAGCACGAAAATCTCTATTTAATATGTCCAGTTTTTCCGGAATTGGCAGGATAAATAATCCGAAGGGACCAGACTTTACTTCTCCTTTGATCTAAAGAACGTTTCGCGTATGTTCGAGATCGCCAATCGAATTCATTATTATATATATAAAAGTAAAAACTGCATATCAAATTTTTAATTGAATAATATTAAAATAATAAGATCGGCGATACTGTTTTTGCACCTAGGCGGCCAACAACCCACAAACGGTTCTGATCGTCGGTTCGGTGGTCCAGGTAAAGACAGCAACAACAAGCATGCATATACAGAGCTATGTAGATACTTGCCTGACGCACCTGTTTGAACTGCTCTTCGAAACTCCAGCTGGTCTGCTGCTGATGATTCGTTCCCGTCGTGTTGTTCTGCGAATGATTGTTGCTCTCCCGCGGTTCGCCGCCGTTTCTCGCGCTGCCTTGCGACGATTCGCTGGAATGCGAGCTCGCGGAAGATGTCATCTGATTGCCAAGACCGCCCCCGATATTGCCCGACTGCGGATGATTGTTCTGGGAGTGGTGCTGCGGGGTCAGGAACGCCGCTGGCGGCGGAAACGTGAACGGAAGATTGAACCCGGTCCCGCCCATGGCCGCCTGAAGAGCTTCCAGGCCGCTTTTGTTGTTCAACGCGTCCACGTCGCTCTGTCGCGGCAGAAATTAGCGAATTTTGAATAAAATGGTAAAATTACTTTCACTTTGACTAATAATATTATCAATTCACCGAATTGATTTTCTACCAGGAAATTTTTACTACAGTAAAACACCGATTATCCGAATTGATCCTTTAAGGACGGTGCAAGTTTTTCGTTTCTTCCCGTTTGGTATGTGGCGTCACGTACATTATTATAATCGGTTAATGAAAGAATTTTTAAATCTTTTTCATAGCTATATGTAATGTACGAGTGGAAAATCATTGGAAATAAAGTAATTTTGAAGGATGGATATTTATTGTATGGAAGACCGCATAATAAAGCGAATAGATACTTTAACTGCACCTAACGACTATTTCTGTAGTTTTGTCGTTATCTTTTTAAACAAGATCATCTTCCTCTACAATTATATATCTTTGATTATCTTCACGTACGTCGAATCCAGGGTATGTTAATTGTTACTTTAAACTCGTTTAAGAGTAATGGATGGTACGTTCCCCGTGCTTCTTTTAAACGGATTTTTTTACAGGAAAAATCGTAATTCGTTATTTGGGATGATTGGCGTTCTAGTGTATTCCGTTTCACGAACGAACCACAGCTATCAAAGTAGATCAACACAGATAATGGTTGCGAATCGAAAGCAGAGATCGTTAAAAATGGTCCCATAATTTTATTGCGTAACAAGGAAAAAAAAGGAATCAATACTGTTATGGCAATGGTGGCAGAAAAGTTGCGACAGACTCTCACGATTTGCTAAACTTTATGTTACTCGTTGCCGCTTTTTCCCCGTTTTTGTGGCGGCGAACGCTTAATTCTGCGCCGACCGAGTTCCACCGCGAGTTATGCAGATAACCGTTCGACAGCGAGCCCGCTTTTAAACGATTAAACGATTGTTCGATTTTTCGACCGCGGGGCATTGAAAACTTTTCCTCGAAGGACTGCGAATTCTTCGAATCGCGACCGAATTGAAACTATTTTAAACGGACACGATATTATTGCAAGTATATCACACAAATAGAAAATGATTTATGATAGTGTATTCAGTGACGTCCACGACAGTCTCCGGTAATACATTTTAAACTGTACCTATCGCTGCGCTGTCGTCAAATATTTATTATCGGTGTAGAGTAATACATTAATATCAAGTATATTTTATTATTCGAGTGCAAATGATTAAAGGATAATGTTGCACGCTACTTTACACGTTTGTTCGATTGCTTCCAGAATTATTCAAATTTGTGACCTTTTTCTGTCGAACACAATATCTTTTAGTTTCTAAGCCGACAAGAATTTGCCATTTTTCATCTGAGAGTGTTAGATTACCAGCAACATTTTCTACCATCCAGTCTTAACACTTTTAGTGTAGGGTACTTCAAAATGTAATACTTTAACCGTTTGACTGTGGAATATGTACTTCAAACTCTAATGTTGCGGAAAACATTCAGTTCGTGCTAATTAGACTGCGGATTTTATGCATTTATAGAATATGCAATCGACTAAAATTCAGTAGAGCAAAAAGTTTCAGAAATTTTATTTAGATTTCCTTTTTATTTCGAATCTACCAGCTTTGACCCGTTGACATGCAACTTTTTAACGACTACTCTCGGTAGAAATAGACCGTTGCTAATAATATTGTGGAAGCAGTAGGAGTTACATGTTCATACTGACTGTACATTTACTGTAAAATTTAATATTGTTCATTCATTGGTAAAATCTGTACTTTTTTCTTTTAATTAAATTAATGACAATTTCTCAATTTTTCAAACTGAAATATCTATACGTAATAAAAAGATATAGATACTAAAATCTAATTTGCATATGCCGAACATTTATTAATATTATCAACATTTACAACTCGATTTTAATAGTTACAACATCTCTTAAATGTTCATTCATTGCTATGTTTACCCTACTTCTATTTGGCTTCATTTTCCCTAAATTACAACATAAAAATTTGCATAAACTTCCGCAGACAAATTCTCATACCTAGTACACATTCAGTTTATGAAGAGTCACCATTTCATAGCCCAATATCAACAATATCGAAAAGTATACAAACATTACAGATTCATTTTAATTAATATTGACATGATTTCGAAGAAATTCGAGGAGTTAACATTTATATAACATTCCATTTAGGTATATCGTCACCGAATTGAAATGAAAATGTAAATAAATGTACAGATTTTAGGCAGGTTGGTGGTCACCGACCGACACCCACGAAGCCACTGGCAAGTCGACTGTCGGTGACCCCTCCACCCCCACCCATCTTCCGCCCCGCTGAATTCAACGTGTTAACCAAACGGGAGTAGGGCCGCGGCAAGAAAAATCCCAAATGTTTTCACTGACCTCCATTTTCAGCTTGGCCAGAAAGTGCGGATGGTGCGTGCTCATCAGGCTGTTCAAGTGTGTTAATGGAGTAGGTGTGCTGACCGGCATGGATCCATTGTCCGTGGTGTGCGTGTTACCCTGGAGCGGCTGCTGAGGTAACTCCTCGCCGCTCTCCTCGTCTTGGAGGTCTGGATCCGACAAATCCTCCTCCTGATGCGACTGAAAGCAGATCAGAGTTAGGCACAATTTTATTCGTGAAAAACAGCAGTACATGGGATCGTCACCTTGACCTTTGAACAGTTAATGAAATGAAATAATTGTTTGCCAATTGCCTACTGATTCGAAAAGAAGTATTCTGTTATTGTAAAAATTGAAATTATCACGGTTGTGCTATTAAAAATACTTTTTTTCATCTTTTATTCGTTATTCGAAATTTTTTATCTAGATAACGAATTTGCCCATCTCTGAAGCAGATCAATGATTCTGGTTAGACTGGTCCCGCTGTCGCAGTTGTTCCCCCCTTCTTTTTTTTTTCGCCGCACGATACACGTAATTACAACTTATTAATTCCGCCGTGCTCGATGCACGCGTGCGAATAATAACGAGAGAGAAAGAGGGTTTCGATCGCTTCTTTTTCGTTTGATTTTGTCCGCAAAGTTATACACGCGTGACTCACGCGACCACTGACAGACAGAGAGGCAGCGAATTATTTGAGAATATCATGAGGCCTGCCACGGAATTAATTTTTCCCCCCTCCCTTTCCCCCAATTTTGTTTTCCCGCGCGACTCCGTTCACCATTGTCCACCTCTGTTCCTTCTAGAGATGGTGTACAAAATCACCAACGGTGATTTATCACAGTGTTCGTCGAATCATGATCAAGGTCGTGATTTAACTTCATTCATGATCGTGATTGCGATTTTTTTTATCTTGAGCGAATTTGCTCACTGCGATCCTAAGTTCTTGATCTTTAAACAGAAAGACGTATTCAATATGATTTTATAGCGAATTACATTACTATTTGTGTTTTTGAAAATCAGTAGGAGAAACAAGAAATTCTAAAAGAATGATTTGCTAGGTAACATGTAGATTGTAATTTATAATCATTAATTATTCCTTCGCTTTATACAATGTAACTCGAATTTTTGTTTCCATGTGATTAATATAAAATATTCAGGTTATATATCGCGTGCAAAGAACTGTTGTTATGTTCCTTCACAAAAATCACGAAGCACTGAGAAAAATCACCGAGATCTAGAACGAACGTGATTGAATCAATCGTGATTGACGAGTAGCTGTTCACGCTATCTCTAGTTCCTTCAAACGGACAGGATCGACAAGGACTCGTTTCTCTAATCGTTACCGATGTCAAATCCTCGTTTTCTTTCTTTTTTTCGTATGTTCCTATCCTCATAAGTTCTTTATAATTCGTGAATGGTAGGGAATGTGAAGCAAGGTCTAATTTATACCGTTCGAAGACTACTCGCGCCGCGGATCGCGTGTCGATTTGCCTGTATACCACATGTCCCACCACAGACGAGATATAAGAGTAGACCTAACATGCAATGTAATTTTCTGTCCCATCCTTCGGGGGCGTCAGAAGCCCCTGTACCATTTCAGTATTCAGTTTTAGTATCGCTATACAGTCAATCCTCGATGAGTGTTCAATAATAATTAATTACATTAAAATGTAATTTAATTAGAAAATTTAAATTGCAATTATTGTGTAATTGCAATGTAATTGCGGGACAATTAGTTACAATGTTATTGTAATTTTTATTGTAAATTTAGTATAGTTAATTACAATGTTATTGTAATTGGTTTGCAATTACATTGGAATTGTGATTTGGCTCTTGTAATTAGATTTCATTTTCCCCAACTCCGTTCAGTACTGTATAATAAATATTTCATATACTAATGGCCATACGCGACTGAAAAAAATATTGTTGGCTTCAAAATTTCAAGCTCTATCGCTGTACTAAACCTCCAACAACAATGCTATTTCGTTTCTACTATTTGTTTAGATTCAAAGTACTACGCACATGTTCCTATATGTTTCATAAGGTCAAATATCTTAGAAACGGTCAATTTTAGGATAAATATACCATAGTACTTCTATACTTAGAATTTGATATTCTATTGAAATCAAACATGAAAAATTGGACATTCCATTAAGATAACAAAATTGACCTCTGTATCTCCTCTTGAGCGAATCCACCCTGTCAAGAAACCATTATTACCATACTATCTATTGATTTAAATCCTACAACTTTCGTTAGTAAAATTTTTGCCTATCGTTTGAAATAACGAAAATATTTCCCAGAATATTAACAAAGCACATAAATTTCCCAGCTCCATTACATATTTCCGTAGTTCCTTCACTGGATATCACTGTATTCTAAGTCAACAGCGTTCGCCGTGGAGTCCATTTCGACTGACGTTTTACGTACATCGACAGTAGCTACCACGTCACATTTGAATTCATATTACTTATGTCGGTGGTCGGTGATCAACTGCGTCGGTGAATCGCGTTCAAAGCAAAGACCAACGTACGACTCTAACATCCGTATTTGTCCCACATTAATTATTTAAATGTCCGTTCCGCGTGTTACGAAACGAGCTGGAAACGTTTAATACACACTCGTAAATCTCTGGACTTTTACAATTTGTTTTTTAATTCTCGATCATAAATGACGATGTCATTGCGCAAGCTTCAAACGTTCCACCCGTGTTTTATACGGCTCGAAATGGAAGCCCAGGGAACGTCGTTGAATACGCGATATACCCGTCCGTCCCGAGGTAGTAATCGTGGCGAGTTAAAGGAGGGCAGATATCGAGAATCATTAAACATTAATTAGGAAAATGGCCGAATGAGCGCCGCGTTATACCGCCGGCCAAGATAGCCGCTATCTAGCGGGCATTATTATGCTACGGGTGTCATAAGTGTTTTACGGCTGTGCCCGTTGCACCGGTGCGCCGAGATAAAACTATACAAAGTGACATTACCGTGAACGGAAATGGCAGTCGTAAACCGCGAGCGGAAAAACGGGACGTGCTCGGACGTTGTGATCGTCGCGAATCAATCGTCGGTTCTGTATTTTAAATCGCCTTTTGCGTCGTTATCGGGCACATTCCCCCGAGACGAGTATGTGTCGATGAAATTGCTTTCTGTATTCGTTCGTGGCCCCCTTTTCTTATTCAATTTCAGGCGTAAACGACCGTACGACTCCGCTTGCTTCGTGGCCACGGTGGAATCGTGCGTTATCGCGAACGCTCGAGAATTCCTTTCTCACGATCGTATCGCGACTCGTTATTAGCTACCTATTACCACTTTCTGCGGGCTAGGGCGATCGAGACACGGTGCAATCATGACTCGTCACGATAAGTGTCCATGTCACACATTTCACTGTTACCCCGTTCCGTGGTATAGAACTTCCCACCTGTATCGCGAGGTAATTTAGACGGCGAAACGACTTTTTCAATATTTTTTTTTTTTCTATTGTTGCCCCGATCGTTTTTTCTCGAATAGTTTCTGAAATAGTGCAATGGATACTGTTGTTCTTAATATTTCTTAGTAACAAGGGAAATTTGGTAACACGATAATTTCGAATGTTTGTTTTTAACTCTAGGTTTACGGACATTTCTTATAAACAATTTTAGGGCAACCACTTTAAAGAGAAAAAATAATAACTTCCAGGGAATACCATCTATCATTTTCTGCAGAATTATTATTTCTCAACACAATTATCAGACATCATACTTGGTTCGTTTTTATTTGAACCAGAATACATAAGAATTGAAATTTTTAGGGTGGTTTTATTAGTCATGCCACGCGGTGTATTATAATCTAGCGATAGGCAAATATCTTGTAATTCAGGCGAAATTTGCGCCAAGACTGAAATTGCAGGGCCTGTCACTCACAACGATAATCGACACGAAGCAGAATTCGAGAGGGGGGGCTTCCACCGGCTCTCGTCAGGGTGTGTCCCCCTTGATCCGCCAAGCGAGGATGCAAATAGATTCATCGAATCTTCGAGTGTATTCAAATGCCGCGGTGCTGCGTCTACCTGAAAAGGGCGGACTTGTATAAATATATGCCCATCGGGCGCAGGTGCCGCGGTGCAACCAACGAAGGTCCCGATCTGAAATGAAATCGTGATCGGTGGAGGGAGGGTGGGGAGTGGAGAGAAAAAAAAAGAAGACGAGCAGATATACATGCACCGTTTCCTCTGTCGGCGTTCCAAGCACGTGTGATAATATTGACCCTTCACGGTGGCCAACGATGGACACACCGTCGATGGAATCCTAATCAAATATGAAACAAGTTCGTCCCTAGGATTCCGATCCATCCACCCGCCGATCGTCGGAGATTCCTAGTCCCCTCCGTCATCGAAGTAACTTCTGTTCCCGAGATAAAACATCGTTAAAGTGCCTGGACTCTCGACGAAACTAACTGTTTCTCATTCGGCGTAGAAAGTTGAACGACCAAACGACATGGGAGGACACAGAGGCGTGAAAATGAATTACGACGGTTAACGCTCTCCCGATCGGTATGCCCGTCGCGGGCCTACAAATCATATCATTGAATAGGTGTCCCCAGGGTGCTCGAGGACGGTCCCGTCATTACGATAATCACGGCTGGCGCGTCCAGGGTGTGCTATTGTTCTAACAGGAACCAGCCGTTTCCACGTAGGTGTTCGAATCCCCCCCCCCCTTGGTGCAGAACGCTACGAAGGGGGCAGAAGGGGGTCGCCGATCTTCTCGCCTCTCAACGAGCCCCACGCAAGGTTTCTCACCTTTTTCTTAATGTCATTCGAGGTAACACCCATAGAGTAAAGTAGCCGAATATGAGACTCATTTTTTTAAGCAAGCGTAATTCTCGATTAAAATACTTTTATTGAAATACGATACACGTTTTAAATGTGTACACTTTTAGAACATATAAATTATAACAAAACAGATAGAGTTCCATCGTAATAAAATCAAAATGAAAAGTATTCCAAAGCTGGTCGCCTAATACGACACCCAGGTTTCATCTTGTCAAAACTTATTTTTTCCCCGGTAACATTTGATACATTGAACCAGAGGTGGGCAAACTAATTATCTAGATAAAAAGTTTCGAATAACGAATAAAAGATAAAAAAAATATTTCCTCATTTTTAATTGTTTAAACGTGGAAATTTCACTTTTTATAATAAAGTAATACTTCTTTATGAATGGA